TGAGTCAGTCCGTTTATCAGACTTCCGCTGCATATATGCTCATCCTACATTGGTTGATCTTTGGTTCTGCCCATACTCATTGAAGTATGTAACAGTTTTGGTATCGGAGCAGATCAATTACGGATCTGCTCACCAGGTAAGACTGATTTAGGAATTAGATTGTTCTTCAATCTTCCAAATCAGCGTTCAATTACTATCAAGTTCAAAGTTGCAATTTTTTTTTCTTTTTCGGTATTCCATTTATTTCGGCATTTCCGTTTCAATTCAGTATTCGGACTTATAATTCGGATTTCTGTTTTCTCCCGGTATGCTGTTTATTTGGGTTCCGATTGAGTGATACTAATCCGATAATTAGTTAAGATTCGGATTTCTGATTTTACAGGTATTAGGGTTGAATCAGTATCATGTTGAACTTCGGCTTTTCTGCTTCCATTAAGCATTCCGTTTTTCGGCATTCTGTTGTAAATCCTGTATTTCATTTTCTTTTGGATTTCCGTTATCTTTCAGTATTGGAAATTAGGGTTACGAAAATCTTTTGGTTTTAAATCAACTTGGGGAAATTCGAACGTTTTGGGACCGTAAAACCGGAAATTCCGCCAAAACGCGGAAAATTAGGGTTGGGACCGAAATTTTCGCGAATTTTTTTTTCCGTTCCCCTTGTTTGAGAAATTCCGAAAACGGGTTTTCGCCTTTAAAAATCGGATTTTGACGGTGGAAATTCCCGAAAATTTACGTTTTTGAAATTTCGAAGTGTTTTTTCCCTGACTTTCTCCGAAATTTTTTTTGGCAAACTACTCCGAATCTAACCCTCAAGTTGCAACTTCCGGGTAGTTCACTCATTAACGGTGAACAACCGGACTGTAATTGGTCTCAAAGAGACCTAATCATAATACAATTCAAATTCGTTCATTATCATGATTGCAATTATTGTTTATTGATTATCTTTATTGCAAATATTGGTTATTGATTATCTTTATTACAAACATTGTTTTATTGATTATCACTAAGAAGTATTTCGTTATTTATCATTAATTAATTTTATTGATTAAATAATTCGTTTTAATTCTTCTTATTACGAATTTTGGAATTATTTACGGGAAAATTTATTTTTTCTGTTTGATTAGGTGTCTTAGTCCATCCTTGGGACAGGGACTACATGTATATTGCTTGATCTGTTCTATCCCTGTGCCCACCCTCTCCCTCGCACTGTTCTGCGATCCTCCGGATGATCCAGCCTTCAGCAACAGTTCCTGATGCCAGCAGGGCCAGCCTCCGAACAGCAGCCACGACGCAGCAAGCGGATCGCCGATCGCCAACAGCAGCAGCAACAGCAACCTACAGTTCTACAACCGCCACAGACCAGTACTCAGATGGCGAACACGCCACGCAGCGGATCATCATCCGAGGGTTCGACAGCTAGTAATGCCGAACCCTTACCGGTCTGTCCGGTGCGAGAGTCGAATGAGCCCCTCCCGGACTTCATTCAGCGAATGCAGGACTATACTGCCGCACTCACCCAGGTCAAGGAACAGCAAGAGGCTGCCGCAGCCGAAAGACTACGGCTAGCAGAGGAAGCTGCAGCACAAACCCGGCGTTAAGCCGAGGCAGACCAGTTGGCAATCGATCAGCTCAACGCCGGCAGTGCTGAACTTGTAAGTGCTTACCAAGCACAATGGACAGCGGTGCTCAACGGGATGCGTTATGTCCCGGTACCCGGCAGCGAGCCGACAACAGTACAGCGAGAGAGGCAAGACCTGGCAGATATTCTACTCCATACAATGCGCGCCGTCATTTGGAACAACTCCATGGGGGAGCTGCATTCCCGGTCCACACTGCAACTGCATCACGACCTGAGCCACAACGTGAAGATACTTGCAGCAGCTGTCAAGGTCGCGGACAACCAGTTGAAACAGCTGGATGCACGCATTGCTACCTTGGAGGCAAGGCCTCCCCAAGCAGCGCCAGGCTGCACGCCAGATATGACAGACACGACGAAGCAGCTCAATGGGCGCATCGATCATGTCGTCAATCTCATCGGCGACATAGGTGTCTTCAATGGGCCAGACACGATCAGTAGCACGGTGGCCGCCATCAAGACGAACATCACCAAGCTGCAGACGAAACCGGACGCCGCTACGAAGAGTTACAAGATGCCACACTTCGACATCAGCAAGTTCGACGACCACAACAAGACGGACGCCTTGGCATGGTGGCAACATTTCCTTACGGAAGCATCCTGCCGCACTGTCCCAGACGACTACATGATGAAGGCGCTATACTTACAGCTGATTGGAGGAGCGCAGGCATGGATGAACCACCTGGCGGCTACCCACACATGCACCATCGCCGAACTTCACACGCACATCACGTGGAAGGAGTTCGAGCAGCTATGGTTCACCCGGTTCATGGTCCGCAATGTCGTGAAGGCGGCCATGAACG